GCTTGTCTGGTAGAAAGCCCGATGTTCCAGCTCTCTGTGGAGCCCCACTGGTGCCGCGCGGACACACGCAAAGCCTCGCGCCGGGCGGGCGGGCGCTGATGTGAGGGTGGGGATGGGAGGAAGGGATGTGGAGAGTGAAGAAGGCGGCAGAGTTCAGAGTATTCTAGTTGGTAAGACGTGCGTCCATCAAATGAAGCAAGGGCCTTGGCCTCTGCCCAGTGAGCGCGGCTGACGTTCTTCTGTGCGCTGAGCGAGGACGCCGAAGCTGGAGTCCCGGTGGCTTTGCTTGGGCGCAGTGGGATTAGAAGGCAGCTCTCTCGGGGCAGAGGGAGGATGCTGGTGTGGATTTTGACAGATGGCTAATGCTGGCGGCCTGGGCATCGTTTCTGGCTGCCGTTGTGTCCCGTTTTGGATCTGGAGGAGATGGGTGTTCCCCAGATCTTAGAAATGCTGTAGAGTCCAAGATCAGGGTCCAGCCAAGAGACTCTCGTCCACTTGGCACTGCTGGACAGGACCGGTAAGATGCTGGGGTGATGCTCATGGAGGGACTCCGAGCTGCCTCTTGACCGGTTCCAGGCCACGTGCTGAATGGGCCCTGTCAGGCCACCGCAGCGGCTGTTCTTAGCTGTGGCCTGTGGAGCGCCCCCGGCAGAGTTGCCAAACTGAGGGTGTGGGACGGAGGTCAGAAGCCCCCCAAAGCCCCCCTACAATCCTCGAGTTTTGAGGAATAAGGGATCTTGCATAAATGGTTTTTTTCGACAAACGGCCCCGTCTACACGGGGCTTTTTATTGGCAAAGCCTCTTCTGCAAAAAGAATCAAAAAAGATATGCAAATGAGTGCTATTTGCATATCCTCTTCCGGAAAAAAACGGCCGTGTGGTCGTAGCCTGAGAGGAGGAGACTGTCCACGTGGGCCTCTGCGCTGTTGGGTGGAGCCCGCGCTCAGGTGGGAGGCTCTGTGGGATTGTCCCAGTTTCTGCTGAAGGCCTTCCCTCGGCGGCGTCCCCTGAGGAGGGGCGTCCCGCTCACACTGTCTCCTGGCTGTCACTTGGCGTGAGTGGCGCCGGCCGGGATCGCCAGGCGCGCGGGTTTGACCCTGCTGCTCAGCAGGGTACAGAATTTGTTTGCTGTTATGTAATGAGCAATATTGTGGCTCAGCAACTGGTCTGAATTCCCTGCCGTTCCTCAGACCGTAAATTCAAATCCCAGCCGGTTTGACTCAGCCCGTCAGCTTTCCCAGGTGGGCTCATTAACTTCCGTGCAGCTTGTGGCACGTTGGGTCTTTGAAACGAGGCTTTAAGCTCAAGGCCCAGGCTGCTCCATGGGCATCATCAGTCCCTTGCTGAGAACAGCTGGCTGCCCAGGCTTCCTTGGTCCACATGCCCCACTCTTCTGGGAGTGACCAGGTGCTGGCTCCACTCCAGAAGTGGCTGCAGTTCAGTGTTGCATTGCTCATGCCTGTGTAAGTGTCAGAAATCTCCCCCTGCTCTTTGGAGCTCCCACACCATGCGCCCGGCCCGTCAGTATTTCTGGGGCACGACCGTTCTGTGGGTGGACGTGCCAGCCAACGGGAGCTGCCAGATGGTGCTGGGGCAGGGGCAGCGCGCAAAGCCGCTCCCTTCCCCTGGCCTTGCAGCATTCAGAGAGCCGCTCTGAGCAGCATGTGGGGATGGGGCCATATTTTGCCCACTCCGACATAGATCCTCCCTAACAGATGTGTGTCTAAATATCTCCAGTGATGGAGATCCCACAGCCTCCTTAGTGCTGGGGGCGGAGGAGGAAGCGCAGGGCTCCCGTGCGTGAGAGGCGCGTGGGGGAGGAGTAGGGCAGACGGGGTGCGAGGAGTAGGGCAGCCAGTGGACCAAGAGCTACCCACCACTGGCCTGGGTATAGCGCGTCTACTGCTCCCCTCCCCCTTAGCCTTGTTATCCTGTCAAAGGCTGCCAGGTTGGTTTTACGGGATTTGTTCTTGACAAAGCCACACTTGCCATTACCTGTCATCTTATTATCTTCCAGGTGTTTGCAGCTGGATTCCTTAATTACTTGCTCCATTATCTTCCCTGGCACAGACACTGGTCTGTAGTTTCCTGGGTTGTTCTTATTTCCCTTTTGATAGCTGGGCACTAGATTTGCCCTTTTCCAGTCTTCTGGAATCTTTCCCGACTTCCATGACTTTCCAGAGCTGACAGCTAACTGCTCAAATACCTTCTCTCTCAGCTCCTTGAGTGTTCTAGGATGCATTTCTTCAGGCTCTAGTGACTTGAAGACATCTAACCTGTCTCAGTAATTTTAACTTGTTCTTTTCCTATTTTAACTTCTGAACCTACCTCTCTTTCCCCAGCATTCCCTATGCTAGGCATCCAATCACCACCAAGCTTCGGGTGAAAACTGAAACGAAGTTGTCAACCATCTCTGCCATTTCCACATTCTCTGTTACTGTTTTTCCTTTTTCATTGAGCAGCGGTCCTGCCCTGTCCTTGGTCTTCCTCTTGCTTCCAGTATATTTGTAGAATGTTTTCTGGTTACCCTTTATGTCTCTAATTAGATTGAGCTCGTTTTGTTCTTTCACCTTTCTGAGTGTGCCCCTGCATACTTGTTCTTTATTTTCACTCTTTGTAATTTGACACAATGTCCCCTTTTTGTAGGACTCCATTTCTAGGTCATTCAAGATCCCCTGGCTAAGCTAGGGTGGTCTCTTGTCCCTGTCTTTCCTATGCAGTGGAATAGTTTGCTCTTGCACCCTTAATAATGTCCCTTCGATAAACTGCCAACTGTCTTCAGTTGTTTTTCCTCTTAGGCTATGTCTAGACCCGTGGTCACCAACAGTCGATCGCGAGGCCTCGACCAGTCGATCGCGAGACGTCCTTTCCGCCCCGGCCTCATTTCCCTCCCACCCCCAAGAAGCCCCACTGCCTACCTCCAGTGAACATGGAGGTAGTGTCGGCATCCCAGGGATGGGCAGAAGTCCCGCAGCTTAGCGTCACTTCCGGCGATTCCGGAAGTGCACTAGCTGCTCTGCCGGGTGTACTGTGGGAGGGAGCATGGGCTCCCTGCACTGTGCAGGAGGGGTGAGTCAGCCCCGGGGCAGGCGTGCGCGGGATTTCTCCTCCTCTCCATCACTTGCTATCCCCAACCCTTAAACCTCTGCTTTTTTCCCCAATTCTTCTGTAGGAAGAGGCCTGTCTAGACTGGACCCAATGTCAGAAAAACCCCTTCTTTTGGAAGCCCCCGTATTCCTTGGGGAAAGAGGACTATAGGGGTGACCGAAAGATCAGGTTTGCTCTTCCATTAAAAGAAGTGGAAGAACAAATGCATCCGTGAATGCAGAAGAGTTTTTCTGGGATATCTCGGGAATCCTGAAAAACTCCTGCAGTCTAGCCGTAACCTTGCTGGGTTGAGACAGGATGTGTAGGCTCTGGGGTGGGAATGAAGGGGCACCTTTCTGAGTGTGCTCCTGCATACTTGTTCTTTATTTTGAAGCTTCAAATGATGAAATTAGCGTACGATAACACACACAGTACCTGCCATGTGTCTGATTTCAGTAAAGCAGTCAGTACTGTCTTATGAAATTGTTACGACTTCAAATTGGCTTAGGTAGGAAAATTGCCTTGTAGATTGTGCATTGGTCACAGACTCTAAATAAAGAACAAGCTCCGATACATTGCTGGCATTGAGCGGGCTGCCTGCTGCAGAGACTGACAGCAGGTCTGGTTTAATTTAGCTTCCCAAATTAATTACTGGTTTGAAGGAGGGAGTCCCCTGAGCATCCGTGGCATTTGCAGACGTTGCTAAACTGGAATAGCTGTGAAAACTGGTGAGGGCAGAGAAATAAGATGAAGGGTCTGGCATAGGGATGGAATAGTGCAGGCGATTAACCGATAAGCAAAAGTCTAATGCTATAGAGTTCACGCATTCGCCCCCACCCCACCCCTGCCAGTACATTTATTAGCAGGCTGGCCAGCAGCTCAGTTCAGTCCTGGCTCACGCCGGGTCCGGGATCCACCCCTGCTGCGGCTCTGCATTGAAAGTGAATTAGGAGCCAGGCGGGCAGACAGCCCAGCTCAGTTCCAGCTTGCGCCAGGTCTGGGTGCTCAGGCCTCTCCTGGACAGAGGCTGCTGCCCCCGCACTGTTGCCCTGTATTGGAAGCAGCAGCGTGGAGTGGCAGGGGGCTCTTTGGGGTTGGTGCTGGAGCGCTCTGGCTGACAGTCCCCCTGTCCCTCCCCCGGGCTATAGAATAGTCGAGTAATAGATAAGAATTCACGCGGATACTCGACTGTTCAATTAACTGACCTTTAACATCCCTAGCCTGGCATGGAGCGAGTGGACCTGTGGGCGGAGCTGGAGCTTGGCAAAGTGCAACTGATACGCTTGGGGAAAGGGGCGGGAAATCGGGACCCTGAGTCAGGAATGCAGGAGGAGACCCAAGGGTTAGTGTGGTCAGCACACTAGACATGAATCTGCATGGGGGGGGAATGGCTGAATATTGCATTGGTGCTGTGCTCGTCTCACTGATCTTTAGGTCAGTCCAAAGCCCCTGGTGCCACGGACTGTGACGTTTTCTTGACGCCTCAGTGACGTCACTCCCCCGTAGCGTTTGCATACGGCGGCTGCACGTTGCTCCCACTTTTAGTTCCCGCTTCTGGCTGTGGAAAAACTCTCGTGCTCTGTGATGGAGTGAGAGCCCAGAGGACTTAGTCACGTGTCTCGGCAGGGCCATAGCCAGTTCGTGGCATCCTTAGGAGGGCCTCCCGGTGGGAGATTAGCATCTTCTAAGACCTGTTCTTCTCCCTACTGGCCCTGCCAGTCCAGCCGGCCAGACTGCATTCTGCCTAGCGGGCATTTCCCAGGTGTAACCACGTTTGGAGTAAAAATAACGAGAAGTCCTGTGGCACCTTATAGACTGACAGATCTCTCAGAGCATGAGCTTTCGTGGGCAGAGATGAAGTGGGTCTTTGCCCACGAAAGCTCATGCTCCAATAAATCTGTCAGTCTCTAAGGCGCTACAGGACTTCAGATTCAGACTAACACGGCTCCCCCTCCGGTACTTGTCACGTGTAGTGGACGCCTAGACAATATTCACAACTTCAGATACAAAAATGATCCATTCAGATAAATAGGATAATCACAATCAGTAGACGACAGCTGTTTCCATGGTACCTCCCACGGCCTGTCTTGTATTATTCCGTAATGATAGCATGATAGGATTAGCGTGAAGAACACGGGGCATCGTGTCACTGGGTGCCAATTCCTCAAAAGATACCAAATGGGACCCACTCTGGTTTTAGGACAGATGGACAATCAGAACCGGGTGTCTGAGGAGACCGATTGGACTGAGCTGCGCTCGGGTCTTTGCCACAGGTAGAAACCTAAAGGGAATCTGAATAATTTCAGGTTCTTTGTTGGTATAAAACTTCTCGCAGGTGTGGCATAGCAGCCAAGGTGAGCCCCGATCCGCTCTCCTGTTGCCACTGCCATGCAGTGAGGTGGGGGAGTGCCACACCCTAAACACACCAGCCCACCCAAAGGCAGCCTCTTCCTTTCCTGCACCCCAGGGTTCGTTATGTGGCTGCAAAGGAGCGGCCACGTAGGGGCCTGGCTGTGCAGATCCTCGCTCATACTGGGAGCCCTTGCTTGTGTGCTTTGCCCCGTTTACCCCTTGTAGGAGTGAGGCATCCCAGGGTCAGGCCCCCACAATTCGACCTGTTCACTGCCAGCGCCGTAGGGGGGCTGACATCTGCATGGGTGCACAAGGATTCTTCCCCCCACTTTGTCCCCAAGGCAGAGGCCAGCCCCAGGGCATCAGCCTGGAAATAGGGCGCAGTTGTTTCAGAGTCAGAGTCATTAACCTCGGGACCCAAGTGCCAGGGGTCATGGTGGATTCTCCATCTCTGGCCATTTTAAAACAAGACAGTTTGCCTGCCTAGCAGCTCTGCCCTGGGGCGGGTCTCTGGCCTGTGCGAGGCTGGAGGTCGGCTCAGGCGATCGCTGACTAGTCCCTTCAGCCTGGAAAGCTAGGACTGTCCCAGGTGCCAGGATGGCTTCCTGCTGGTGCCCTCTGAGGTGTTACTAGGGATGTGATGGGTAACCGGTAACCTGGTAACCCTTAACGGGTAACGCCTACCAGGTAACCGTTAACCAGTCCTGGGAGATGGGCCGGACCCGTGCAAGTGGAGGCATGTTGGCTAGGATGCCCCCTCCCCAGTGCAGTGTATTTCTGTTGGCATCAGCTGGAAGTAGCGGGAGGAACAAGGGGACTTCTGGAAAACAGGCCTCGTGAACGTGCTCTGTGGGGCCCCGAATGGCGCTTCCTGTGCTAACCTGTCCCCTCTCTCTTGGTATCTGCCTCCTGGACTTTCAGAGCGGCAAGGGCCTTTGGCGAGTACCTTTCGCAGAACCACCCCGAGGGCAGAAACGGCTCAGGTAAGAGAAATCTGGTGTGGCCTCCGTCCTGCTGGTACTGATGTGTCCCCGGGGGTGCGGTCACAATAGGGAGAGGCAAGGGCCCCACCCCAGATAGTCCAGCAGAAGAGAAAGCTGAGGAGATCTCCCATGGCGTGTTGGGGGTCTACGTTGTGGTTACGGGAGAGGTGCCCAGCCCAAAACCTCCACGGCAGCTGCCCTCCCTTGAAGGGAGTCTGGGCAGGGAGGTACAGTCTGAAATCACCAGGGGCTCAGCTGGCCTCTCGCGCTTAGGCCCTGTCTTCACACGGCGAAGAGGCCTGATTCGTGCCGTTGAGCCCTAGTGCTCGTTATGGTGTCTCCCATGAGGGCTGGTTGAGAGCAGCTCCAGGCTTGCTCCCAGTGTCTGCCTACAGCTCCATGTTAGCAACGGGCTCAGGTAAAACCACAGCTGCCTTGGCCTTCACTCCTCGAGCGGTGCCTTGTCAGCGTGTGGCGGGCGGGGGCTTTGCCTGTCAGACTCTGAGGGAGGTTTTGCTACATCCCTACAGGTCGGTGTTGAGACACGATAACGGGAGAAGCTTGCCCAGCTGCTCCCCCTGCTGTCCCTGTTCCATAGGGGAAGACGAAAGACACGGGGCTCCAGGGCTGTCGTTACAAAACATTTCACCGGCAGCGCAGCCACTAAAAACCCGCATGAAACCATCAGCCTCCCCCGAACGGGAGCAACTTGCTGAATAGGGCGTAAAACCCAACGGGAGCGACTTACTGAATAGGGCGTAAAACCCGACGGGAGCGACTTGCTGACTAGGGCGTAAAACCCGACGGGAGCGACTTGCTGACTAGGGCGTAAAACCCGACGGGAGCGACTTGCTGACTAGGGCGTAAAACCCGACGGGAGCGACTTGCTGACTAGGGCGTAAAACCCGACGGGAGCGACTTGCTGACTAGGGCGTAAAACCCGACGGGAGCGACTTGCTGACTAGGGCGTAAAACCCGACGGGAGCGACTTGCTGACTAGGGCGTAAAACCCGACGGGAGCGACTTGCTGACTAGGGCGTAAAACCCGACGGGAGCGACTTGCTGACTAGGGCGTAAAACCCGACGGGAGCGACTTGCTGACTAGGGCGTAAAACCCGACGGGAGCGACTTGCTGACTAGGGCGTAAAACCCGACGGGAGCGACTTGCTGACTAGGGCGTAAAACCCGACGGGAGCGACTTGCTGACTAGGGCGTAAAACCCGACGGGAGCGACTTGCTGACTAGGGCGTAAAACCCGACGGGAGCGACTTGCTGACTAGGGCGTAAAACCCGACGGGAGCGACTTGCTGACTAGGGCGTAAAACCCGACGGGAGCGACTTGCTGACTAGGGCGTAAAACCCGACGGGAGCGACTTGCTGACTAGGGCGTAAAACCCGACGGGAGCGACTTGCTGACTAGGGCGTAAAACCCGACGGGAGCGACTTGCTGACTAGGGCGTAAAACCCGACGGGAGCGACTTGCTGACTAGGGCGTAAAACCCGACGGGAGCGACTTGCTGACTAGGGCGTAAAACCCGACGGGAGCGACTTGCTGACTAGGGCGTAAAACCCGACGGGAGGAGCAGCCTCTGTCCCCAGCGGGCCCGGGCAGCCCGGGAAGGGCTGCTCCCTGCGCAGGGAGCCCGGGTGCCCCACAGGCAGGGCCCGCGTAGGACGGCCATTGTCCGTTCAGTGCAACGGGGCTTCTGGGGGTGCGAGTTCTCGTTGTCCCCACAAGCAGAGGCCGCATGCTGGCCTGTCTGCACGCGGCGGGTTTGCTTCTGGAGCTTTCTGGCTGTCGTCTGCAAACTGCGCTTCCCTTTCCGATACGGAGGCGTCCCTCTGGCTTGTGTGGAGCAAACGAAGTGCTTGCAGGGAAGCGCGTGCTGTGCTGCATTGGCTCCAGAGCACCTGTCCCCGGGCAGCACTGGATCTTGGGTGTGCATGGGAATGCCCAGCGAGGAGGGGTGCACCGGGTGTGCGGCTGCGTTGCCTGTGCCTTGGCATGTGAAAGGCTTCCCTTGGGGAGACCTGCAGGCAGGTTAGGGCTCTGAAGAGAGCCCCGGGGTTGCTCTCTCTACTATTCACTGTTTACGCTGTGGTCGGGCCCTGAAGCCTGCAGTGTGCTCGGCACTGGACGAGTGCCTAGTGAGATCCCGCATCTCAAGAGCCTGTGGGCTAATTAAACTGTTGGAGGGCAGTGGGGCCACAGCCACTGTGGGCCTGGGAGCAAGGTGGGTGGGGCCAGCTCTGCTCCAGGAGGGGCAGAGCCTCAGACACAAGGGGCGGGGCCGAGGGCAGTCCCCTCCGCAGAGCTGTGCAGAGCGCCCGTTGCGGCGCTCAGAGCTGTCGTGGGAATCAGGGATGTAAGCGACTAGTCGCTCCCCCCCTGCTGCCTCTGTCACAAAGAGGAGTTAAGCGGGTGCTGGGGGGAGCCAGTTCCCTTCAGCTCCGTGGGAAGGGGCAGGGGCGCAGCGGCGGCGATCCAACTGGGAAATGGACAAGGGCGTTTCGAAGCGGAAGCGCCGCATGGATCCCAGGGTCAGTGGGGGACGCCGCTGGCCCCGGCTCCAGGCACGTTTCAAAGGCGGAATGCCGCGCCCGTCCTCATCGACCAATCGAATAGTCGATGGAAATCCCACTGCCTGTGAATCGAAATTTAACATCCCTGGTGGGAATGCTAAAGGGTCCCGGGGCTCCGGCCACCGCCACTGCCAGAGCATTCCGGATCCCTTTGAAACGCTGGGAACCTGCCCTCTTTATCCCCCTCTGGCGGGCCTGGTGGAGGCAGTGGGGAGGGAGCGTTGCCCACGTGTTGCGCCCCTGGCTCCGTAGACTAGCTGCACACGCCCCCGAAATTTAACATCCCTGGTGGGAATGCTAAAGGGTCCCGGGGCTCCGGCCACCGCCACTGCCAGAGCATTCCGGATCCCTTTGAAACGCTGGGAACCTGCCCTCTTTATCCCCCTCTGGCGGGCCTGGTGGAGGCAGTGGGGAGGGAGCGTTGCCCACGTGTTGCGCCCCTGGCTCCGTAGACTAGCTGCACACGCCCCCACGTACCTTCCCACGGGCTGGTACCATGAGAGAAACGAAGGCGGGGGGGGGGTCTTGGGGGGAGAGGCTGCGGCGCGG